GAAACGCTCCATGACCCTGCAGTCCATTTTAACAGATCTTTCCCAGACTGTATTTAGAAGTCACATCTGCTGGAGCAAGAATGGGCAGGTCATCCCTTATGATAGCAGGCGGGTATAGAGGAGGAGCCTCTCATTTACTAAAGAGTGAATTAGAGAAATTAAGCTTCTATACGGTAATATACTTGTGTGACGTTAGTACTGCACAAAGATCTGCTCTTCAGACTTGATGATCCGATGCCAACCAGTACCTGTACATATCAGCTCTTGCATAGCCGCTTTATTTCCCTGTATGATGAACAGGCTGTAATGCACATGCAGCTTTGGGTCGGTATGTACTGGTCCGGGCTCATTGTGTCTGCTGAGACGAGCTGTGGTGTAGACCTCTGCTGTGTGCCCATTGCATTCGGTTTTCTATAGGGTCATATGTAGACTTGCTCACATGCTAATTCTCTTCTGAACGCTGGTTGCAATCGGGTGTCAAGAAGCAATTATAAAGACTCTCCTTTTTACCCGGGTTCCTTATTCAGAAGGGTCATTTCACCTTGTCTAGCCTTTACTTTATCTGCATGGAAAACTTTTTATCTTGGTACACTTCAGTATATTTGCTTACTAAAAGTTTAGCTGCTTTAACTGACCTTGCTGCCACTATCTCTTGTTACATAATTGCACTGGACATATAGCACCTGAACATCAGCTAAATACTATTGCCGTCTTCTATATTAAGAGAGCTGCAGACCTTCCCTGCCCTTCGTATTCCATGGATTAAAGATTGGAGGAGTCAGCATGGTGTCATTTTCAGGCTGCCATGTGTTCCCTTCATGGCTTGTATTGCCTGCTGTCCTGTAGACCCGATTCTTGTGCTCAGCTTCAGAGGAGGGCTCATGTATTAACACAGTGCTCATGGTAACCAATCAGGTAATGTCTCATTAATCTATACTAGGCTACTCAAAGCTGGGAAGTGTTCGCTCTAATTGCTCTTCAGGCTCAAAAAAAAAAAAAGAAGCCTCTTAGGAGGTAATTGACTTGCTCTAACCATTGACAGCTTGATGGATCTGGGTATTTCTGCATAGCACGCATTATGGCATTTGTATTATGTCCTAATGCTTAGCAATAAATTCTGGATCTCCTCAGAGGGTCTGAAAGATGACCTGTTTGTAGCACATTAAACAACCAGTCAGATTCTTCCTTTCTTCCTCTAGCTTGCAGTAGGAAATGACAGTAACTCTGACACCTTAGTAAGTAGGCGTTGGATATTGGAGCTAGATGGACCATTAAACCTGCCCAGATATCCTTTGGTTAGTCCTGACTCCAAGTTATCCCTTATTAAGATGTTTTACAAAAGGATATTTTGTCTTGAATATTTCCGAAGTAATACAAAATATTCCAAATGCACTTTGTGGTGGTTATTTGGGTGTAAAATATGAATCGTTTTCATAACATATTTATTATTTTGAGCCCATAACTTGAATTGATGGCTCCTACATATCCAGCCCAGCGCTGCTATGTATATAAAGGAATTGTTTGATTAAACGGAATTCATTTTGGGATTCAATGGTCTTTCTGGAGCCGCCCTGGTATGCTTGGGCATTTGTAGGTTAGAATTTTGACAATACATTCTTATTGAGGGTTTTGTTGAAAGATTAGACCAGCTTTGTTAGACCAACTATCTTTGACCTGAATAGTTAATGGAGCAGAATCTATTGAGAATCTATTGAATCTGTTGAGAATCTATCGGTTACATATATGTAGAAGATGTTCACGTTTTCACAGTTCCTGTCATGTCTGGAGTTGTTCTCTGGTCGGGGTATCGCAGTGTGTAATGCTGTGTCAATAGTAGAAGTAAGCAGCACTTGCTATTGAGTTATGGCCGTGTGTTCGTGTTTGGCACATTCACAATGTGTTATTAAGTAATGAGTCTTTGCCATGTTTATCTTACTGTGAACTAAACCATATTTAGAAGCAAGTGAAACGCATTGTGTGATACTTGGCCGCTTTTTCTACACTTGTATTTGCTGTATTTGTGTTAAATCTTCGGTGTCCACCTGTAACAGAGTTTCCAATATGAGATTTATGTATCGCTTGCCATTCTCAATGTGGTACATTGGCCATTGCATCAGTACACACTACTACACTACGAAGCACAGAATAAATATATAGATTGTCCAAAACCTTAAAGCCCAATTGAACGTTCAGTTTGAATAATCCACTAAATACATTGCAGGTGCATCCAAACACAAGGTCTACGAAGTCTTAAGGTGCCCATACACTTTCCAAACATCGCAAGACCTTTAGTCTTGCGATGGTTGTAAAGTACTTTAAAAAAAACGTACGATCTGCCCATCTTGGACAGGCAGATCGTACTTGCGATCATCGCAAGCCCGCCCCCTTGAGGGGCGGGCTTGCGATGACTGCAATGAGGGGCGGGCTTGCAAGGACGGCAAACGGGCAGTGTGCGCGTGCACACACCGGCCCGCTCGTCAGTTGTCGAACCAGCAGGCCACTCACTCGCCGAGAATTGTACGATTCCCGGTGGGTTTTCCAGCCTGCTTGTTCGATGGAAGACTTGCGACCGTACAGTAGAAACGGTCGCACGCCTTCCATACACTGTACGATTCTCGTACGATCGCGGGCTTTCCCGCGATTCTCGTACGAGAATCGTACAGTGTATGGGCACCTTTAAGCTGGCCATACACCTTACAATTATCTGCAGATTTTCTGTGGTCAGATGGAAAGGTGCAACAGATTCCTCCATCTACACCGAACTGTGTGGATGGAGTAATCTCCACCTGGGCCAATCCGTTGCACTTTTTCCATCTGACCACAGAAAATCTGCAGATGATTGTAAGGTGTATGGGCACCTTTAGGCTGGGCACACACCTTTTAAGGTGCCCATACACCTTACAATTATCTGCAGATTTTCTGTGGTCAGATGGAAAAAGTTCCACAGATTGGCTCAGGTGGAGATTACTCCATCCACACAGTTAAGTGTAGCTGGAGGAATCTGTTGCACCTTTTCCATCTGACCACAGAAAATCTGCAGATAATTGTAAGGTGTATGGGCAGCTTTACAACCATCGCAAGACTTTTGTCTTGCGATGGTTGTAAGGTAATTTAAAAAAACGGATGATCGGCATATCTTGGACAGGCAGATCGTACTTGCGATCGCAAGCCCGCCCCGCTGAGGGGCGGGCTTCCGATGACCGCAATGCTGAACGGGCAGTGTGCGCTTGCGCACACTGGCCCGTCCGGCTTTTATCTTACGAACATGCTACACACCCGCCGAACATCGTACGATTCTCGGCGGATTTTCGAACATGTTCCTAAGAAAAGTCGTGCGATCTTACAGTAGCAGAGGTCGCACGGCTCCCACACACCTTAGGATGATCGTAGGATCGCAGGATTTCCCGCGATTATCGTAAGGTGTGTGGGCACCTTTTACGGTTCATTTTCTTTAAAAAGCAATCCCAGCTGGAGTAGAAGAGCCTTTGCTCTGCCAGCATGATGTAAACCAGGACCTCTGATCTCTGTGTAGGCGAGCCCCCTGCGCTATATTCAGCAGAGAGCATGCGCTTTGGTAATTGCGGAGTTATAGGTCTGACTCTGCAGGGGGTTCTCCGGACCTCTGCAGAGGGACAACTGCTTCTACACAGACTGAGCAAGGGTCCTTTACATCTTGCTGACAGGAGGCGGTCTTTTTACTGGGGCTCTGGCTGCGTTCTAAAAAACACACAAACTGTAAGACTTTATTTGAACTCTCCTGAAATGGATTTAGCTGATTCAAAGTGAAAGTTCAGCTGGGCTTTAAATAGGTTTGTGCAGTACGGGCTATGGACTTTGCTTTTCGGGTCAAGTAGAGGCTACCCAATATGTAAAAAGTGGATTAGATGACAGTAAGGGCAATTGGGTGTAGTGACATATCGTCCTTTGCCGCAGTAAGTTTGTGTTTCTGTAGTAGGCCTTAGGCTCTTACACCCCGACTTCTGAATTGGAAAGCCTAATGTACTCCAGGCTAAATGGCTTTTCCTCTCTATTGGGGTTCTAATAGCAATGCTATGCTAAGAGATGATGTAAGGATGAATCCCATTCAGTGACCATGTTTTATACTACAATGCACAGTAATTGGAGACGTGTTATGACGCAAAGTTAATTGCACCCCAATGCACATGTTCAGTGTGCTGCAACGCTTCTGCATTAAAGCCCCCATTAACACAGATACACATGCTGTGTGTTACATTGTGTTTAAAAAAAAAAAATATGTATTCCATTGACAACCCATTGATTTTGAATCGGCTGCCTAACGCAATCCTCAGACATACACTTTAATGACCCGAGTGCGCATCCAATGTAAAAAAACACGCATAGATGTGAATGCATAGATGTGAATTCTCTGTACATTGTGATGTGTTGTGGCTTAACACACAGGTGAAGACAAATTGGTTGCCTGTGTATGCATTGTGTATCAACAATAAAATGCACATGGCCAGTGCACGAAGGTGGGAAATGTGTATACAGGCAAGGCGGCATTTTGCTTTGTTTGAGTAACATGACTGACTAAAGATTAAGTGGAACTCTAGCCAGATAAAGGTAAATCTTCACATATCGATGTACAAACCAGACCGGTTCTAACACTTTTCTGAATCGGTCCAAAACTTAAAAAACATTGGGCTGGTGGAGAGCTTTAAGCAAACTGGATTATTGCACAGACTTGTATCCCATGATCATACATATCCATATAACCCTCCTGGTGTGAACAGTGACCGTCCACCCATAGACTTCCTTGCTCCCCGCAGATGATAGACTTTCGGCCGGGTGCGGTTAGTGTCTTTATATTGCAAATACTTTGATGAACTTTACCTGTTAAACACGAGTAGTATTGTCTCCGAATGTCAGTTTTTCTTAATTGCATATTATCTCTGTGAATCAGCAAATGAGTGTTTGTTTTCTTCCACGCTGTTTTGTTTTCCTGCTGCTGATTGCATTTCCCCCTTTTCTCTTGGCAGTTGTTGACCTCCTGTACTGGCGGGATATAAAGAAATCGGGACTGGTGTTCGGTGCCAGCCTCTTCATGTTGCTGTCTCTGACGGTGTTCAGCATAGTCAGCGTTTCCGCATACATTGCCTTGGCTTTGCTGTCTGTTTCCATCAGCTTGAGAATATACAAGGGAGTGCTGCAAGCAATTCAGAAATCCGAGGAAGGGCATCCATTTAGGTAAGTATTACAAATAACCCATCATTGCGCTCTCTAGCTATGTTTGTATTAGAAAAAGGCCATCAGTCACTAGTGCAGCAGAATAAGTGATAATTGATGGTCTAGGTAATGCTAATTCAGAGGTTATATAATAGAAATGCAGAAGGCAAGTCTGCTCGTGTTCTCCTGTGTGGAGAATGGGCACAATTCACTTCTATAGAAAACCTGTCCTGAGACTTGTATGGGAGCTGTCATTACCAATCCTGCTTCTGAAGATGCTACTTATCTGGGTATTGGCCAACTGGGTTTTTTGTTTCAATATAATCTTTATTTTAAAGTTTTCAAAGTTACATGACATAGAACATAAAGCCGTGGGGTAACAGGGTCAAATAAGGAGATACATCAGGGACCGGAGTGAGGATACAGCATATTGCCATCTTGGCCAACTGGGTTTCATGATGTTTCTGATCTGGAACAAGTATGAATATCTGTAAGATCAGAGTACAGTGACATTTTATTTGCATGCTTGTTCCAAGCAAAGGACACAAAGGTAGAGGGTGAACATGGCAGCCAGAAAACTAGAATTTGCAGAGTAGGGAAGTGGCAATAGCAGTCCCCATGCCTCTCTCAGTGAAGGTTTTTCTGTAAGGCTTCACACAATTGTTTTGTGGTAATGCTTGGTAAAACACGTGTTACACTGAGGATTACTACGTCTGCTAACGCACAGCAATTTGTGCATTGGCAATGCCATTCATTTAGAATAGCAGCCCGGCACACAAGTTCAGTAAAGGCAACATAAAAAACAGACTTTTGCCCAGCTCAGATTTGGTCGCACTCCAGGGGTCGGCACCGAAAATAAAAAATCTTTTATGAAGCAAATACATACTGTTTGTTTCCTGCCCATATGCGCTCAACCCCTAACGCGTTTTTACCGTTCCGGCTTACTTATAAAGAATCGCTGAGTAAGCTGCAATGGATTGAGCATACATGGGGAGGAACAAACCGTATATTTTTTTGCTCCATATATGAAGATTTTACTCTTCAGTGAAGACTGAATGATGCTATTTTTGGGTTGCGGTGGGTGACAGCGCACTTGTTTGCCTGCACCTGGGATGCATTCGTAGTGAAAGTCTGGTTTTGGAATGTGAGGGGTGTTCACTGTGACTTTCACCCAGAGTGAGGTGTATTATTGGAAAAAAAACCAGACCTACATTTTTTTGTTTTTTTATTTTTACGTTGACTGAGCATTCTAAATGAATGAACTGCCTTAATGCAACGGGCAAAATACCGCACATTGACATGCATGTGGTGACAGACTGCCCCGAAATCAATGGCGGCAGGATTGAAAATCCGTAACTGTAACCATATTCCTTTCTTTAGTAGAACTCCTTCTTCCCACCTCCTAGCGTGCCTTGCAGTGCCTTGACTTGCACATATTGAAGGGGCAGGCACCCACACTGGGCTGGGGAAGAGGAGGCCCAGGTTTTTGCTGCTGTGCAGTCATTTTGCTGACTTAATCCCTTGGTATGTTTTATGTTCATATTGGAACATGTCTACTTATGCTCTTCTTTTTTTTTTTTTTTTTTAATGCAAAGACTCTTAATGTTGTGTTTTGGTTTTAATGATTTTATGTAATGGTGTAAGTACACGCTCACATTAGGTCTGTGATGCTTGGCATACAGAACAGCTGTCATCTGCTTTAACATACAGCACAAGTAAGGGTGCCAGGCATGTAGAGGAAGCCTTTCTTCCAAAAGTGTTTATGGCTCCGTAAAGATGAGGTAGAACTACACGCGATGTCTCAATCTTATTTTTAGACACTGCCTTTTCCTGCTCCTACATATTTATAGATTTTGAAAGGAATAAGTATAATATAAAGGCAAATATGAAATGATTTTTGCTCCGTGTTTCCTACTACTTTGAGCTGACAGTAATGTGGCAGATTTGTCGCATGTCATCACTGTACAACAAAGGGACGATATCCCATACTGAAGATCTGATTGTTCAGTCCTTTCAGCAAAATCCGATCACTGGGTAGTTCTTTGTCTTGCTGTTTTTTGCTGTCGAATAATTGGCAGCAAGTGCAGAATATAGCCATGAACAGATCAAGAAGAATGGATGCTGTGCAGCTTGTCCTTGTATTTTATACAGAGCTCTGGTCTATTTTAGGTCAAATCTTACTGTACTACACTGCTCACACATTCTGCAGCTTGAAACAAAGTTCTATTTAAAGCCGGTGGTATTTTCAGAAAGTTGCTAAGCGGTATTTCAGAGCCACTGGTCTAGATGAACTTTGTGTCAGCCCTTCCTTGTGGCTCACTGTACAGAAGCTGACCGAGCCGCTGTTGCGTCGATGCCTTTTTTAGTTGCACCGGGAGCGATCTGCTGCAAATTCCCCTTATGCAGACATACTCCACATACTAAGCAGTTTAGGGAAAGCCTTGTCAAGGTCATCTTGGGTGGAATGTCATAACTGCTTGACCCATCCTCCGACCTTCTACCTAAAATATCTACCAGACTAGATCTGTGCTTCCCGGCTGTTCTGCACGGGTCATCAGTTCTTGTGCTTTAATATGATATAAAGTGTACATAGTTCTATTCCTTCACCCACCCCTGACCTACTTCATGGCGTAATAGACCCCTGTTACTAAGCAGTTCCCAATCTGTTTTTAACAACCAAGCTATCTTAAGTGAAGCGGTTTTTCTTCCAGAGAAGTTTTTCTTTTTTATTCCCCCAGCAAAGCCATTTTGACATCCTTAGAATATTTGAACTGGGCGCATTAGATTACTGGCAGAAAGTGGTGTCAAAACAGGACGTCCTGTTCATTTTCTCAGCTCTGTTGTGGAGAAACGTTGCAGAGCAATCAATGTGAGCACCTAGGAGAGCTCTCACTTTACAGAGCCCACATTATTTTTGGCAACGCGTGTCATGGCCTAATGATGTGGGGGAAGCATTGAAGATGTACTGCAATCTGTAAAGATTTCTATCTAAGATTTAGCTTCCAATGGTAGTGCATTAAGGACACTTCCACTCGCTTACCACGTCTTTTTAAGGGCTTCTTTGCCCACTTTTATTAATGCAAACATAATAGTCCACACAGGTGTTTCCCTCCATAGGAGGTCTTCAAACATAAAATACAGCAAAATAATGTTTCTCCAAGTCTCACCGACTTCAGGTTATCACTAAAAACCTCTCCTACACGGGTTGTATCCAACACACTTTTCCACAGGCTGCTTCTTGTCCGCTTAGCCACACAAGCTAGTCTCTTCACCATACAGGTGATACGCTCCTCAGTCCGCCAGACAGACTGTTTCCAGGGGGAGCTCTCCTGACTCCTGCACAGAGATCTCCTCTGTCTCCCAGGTGGAACCCTGAACATGAACCAGCATCCTTTTCAGAAGGGCTGTGTACGGGGTCACCACTAAATCCCAGACACAGGAATGGAGATTTCATCTCTCCCAGTTCTCTTAGAAATCTCCCAGTTCCAGGATCCCAGTTATAATTTAGAAAACCTGGAAAGAGTAGTAAAGCCAGCTATTTTCCTTGTAAAAGTACTTCTGTCCCGGAACTGTTCAGCCCCTCTGGCTGAAAGTCCTGGGTGACCATTTTGCCACCCTACATGGTGGCATTGCCACGCACTGCCACAATATATAATCTCTAACAGGCAGTAAAGGAGCTTTAAAACAACTAATCACTAACCTCTGTAGCTGCAGGCACTGTGGAACATATCAACCTCATTCAGAGCAGAAGTACTGACGAGTTCTTTATTTACATTAAAAATTAGGAGGAAAGCTTTCCATTGTCAAAGGAAACCTACCACAGTTCCTGCCATATAAATAAATATATAAACCATCGGTGGTAAGTTTTGTTGACCTGTTTGATTTGGCTTCATGTATACTTTAGGTAAAGCTGCTTTGTTGGCTCAATGGCATAGGCAGTTTTGAGTGCTCTCACTTGCTGCCCATAGTATCTCTTTAGGGTGGATCTCTAATGAGATAAATGTTCTGCCATTAGCACAGCCCATTGTAACAGTCATCACCGGGACAGAAAGAGGGTCTGCATGTCTGGGTTTTAACCCTTCCCTACCCTGCCCAAAACTAAACAGTTTTGGCTTCAGGTACACTTTGGGGTGTATTTATAAACATTTCATAGAGCCATTCACCCTGTGTAATTGCATGTACATTTGTTCTGTGCAAATGGCGGCAAAAGTGTTGTTGGCATATTTTTTTTTCCAGGTTGAATGCAATATCATGAGAATACCACATTATGGTTGCAAGGGTAAAAAAAAAATGTTTTATGTAAATACTTGCGGTGAGGCTACCTCCTTTTTAGTCTAGAGTCTAAAATAACAGATCTACTCGCCCGAACCTTGGTCCCGCCTGGCTGCTAGAGCGTTCCCCACAGCCTTTTTTTCCCCTCCGCTCTGGCAGTGGAATGTCCCTCGGTGTCCTTGCGTCTTATATGTACACTGTATTAGATGTGATGACTCGCAGGTCATTAGACCGCCAGAGCAGACGGGAAAAGAGGCTGTGGGGACCGGTCTAGCAGCTAAGCAGGACTGAGCATCAGGTGAGTATATCTGTTATTTTACACCCTGGATGAAAACGAGGCAACCCCACTGCAAGGGTTACCTTTTATTCTGCTTGGGGTTCCTCTTCCAGGGCCCCTTCACACCACATCTAGATAATCTCCAGACCAGGTTGTTTCCACACCCAAAATGCATCCCAATGTATCCCTATGCCACTTCTGGCCTCACCCCAGCGCAGTATGCTCCAGACCAGAAAAATACTGCATGTATCATTTTGTCTGGTCTGGAATGCAATGGAACGCATGGCAGGGTCGCACCATTTTCTGGACCAAATCTGCTCCGGAAAATGGTGTGTACCTGCCCTAATTGTAAGTATTTAGGTAACATGCTAATAGCATTCGTGTTTGCCCCCATTCACACAGAACCAATGTACATGCAGTTTCTCAGCACAAAATGCAAATGGTTTATATATACAGCCCTTTGTGTCTGGGCTCGTGCACACCAGCAGCATTGTCTGTATTACCCAATAGCTGTGTTGGTGTGCGCATTTTTGGGCAGAAAGATATGATGAAATGCATGGAAAAAGTAGGAAATGTTCAATTTCAAAACATATGCCAGCAAGCGTGCCATGGTGTGAACGAGCCATTACCTGAACTTGAAAGGTCCTGTATTCTGATCTACCTCTCTTTGTCACTTTCAGATCTTACCTGGACTCCAATGTGGCAGTGTCTGAAGAACTTGTTAATAAATATAGCAATGTCGCCCTGGGGCATGTTAACTGTACTCTTAAGGAGCTGAGGCGTCTCTTCCTGGTGGAGGATCTGGTGGATTCTCTGAAGGTAGGTATACATTATGGCTGGAATGGTTTGTAGACATAAACTACCTATACATTGCATGGTCCTTTCCTCGGCCCAAGCGGCCACCAGTTGTCCATTCTATCACCAATTACAGTGCCAACAAATATACCCAATTTAAAGAAGAACTTCAGGCAAACAAATCCACATTTAAAATGCTACTACTTGGTTTAGCAGTACTGCTACTAGGCCAGCTTTACCGCTTCCCAGGTTAGATCTCTGCATAGAAATGATGCTGATTCAATGTTGAATCAAGGGCTTGAGGGAGAGAGGCGACAGAAGAAGCTGAACCAGAATGGCCTTGTTCACACCGAAAGCGTGTGCTTTCCAGAACGGTAGCTGCTAGAACGCACCGCCATCGCTGAGAAACCTCCCTTGCGTTTTGGGGCGTGGCGGTGCATTGTATTCAATGGTACCGCTTCCACATCCCCCGCCCGCAGTGCGATCGTACGCCTGGCAAAACTTTGCCAGCGTTCGCTGGCAAAGTTTTGCCAGGCGTTCGATCGCACTGCGGGCGGGGAGGCGTAGACGCGGTACCATTTGAATTCAATGCACCGCCACGCCCCAGAACGCGGGGGGAAGTTTCTCAACGATCTCTGTGCGTTCCAGCAGCTACCGCTCTGGAAAGCACACGCTTTCGGTGTGAACAAGCCCTTAATTGGGAGCCACATGTGTAACCTGTCTGGCTGGGCTCTGTTACATTGGGAATGTTTGTAAACTTTAAGACTGGCTGCACAGAATTACAAATCCTTTGGCAGATATAACAGTAAAGTATATGCATTTCAACTCTTATCTTTGCTTTTTTTTTTCTGGAGAGTCTCTGCTGTCATTGCTGATCTTCAGAAAATGCTGGCTGATTGGCTATTCTGATCACTGGTGGCGAGTCACGGAAATGGAACAAGTATCCAGGAAAGACGTTCTTATCTGCATACTTTTTTCTGGGCTACTTACCAAAGAATTTGCATGGCAGCCAGGCAACTAGCATTTGCAGAATGAGAAACTAGAAGATGGGTAAGGGTTAAAAAAATGGTCAGATACATGTATTGTAGATTCTTGTACTTTCACACTGCAATCATGTGACCAGGACTTCCTCTGTGTCAGTGCAGTAGTAGCTTGGTCAGAGTGGGCATGGAGGTGTGTAAGTCTGATCATTTGGCTGTGATCTCCATGCACAGGGCAGTGTGACAGATATGGATACACTGGAAGTGAGGCTGCGTAATGATTAAATAACTCGGCAGTGATTTTTCTGCTTGTGACAATAGTGACTAGCGCTGCACTGCTATGGACATGTCCCCCTGGGCTGTAATATGAAGACAGGCTGGCAGTGTCCAGACTGCTGTGTCTATTCCTAGCTGTACATGTGTAACCTAATGCAAGGGGGGGTTGTTCTAATGGATGTAACTCGGCCGACTGCCAAATGTCATCCAAATGATGTTCTCAGGTTTCATTTAAAGGTCATTCTACTTTGTGGCTTATCAGCAGCAGGAAGGTCTGTGACTAGACACTGGAGTTTTGTGGCCTTTAACACGCATTCTTTATCAGTGCGTGGAGACTTTGTACTTGGCCATTATCAATGAAGAGGTGTGCAATAGATGATTCATGCCGCCTCGTGTACAGCAGCTGTGGACAGATTGATGAAGAACTCTGCCTACTCAAGAGGGCGGCTTCCACTTCTAATGCTCTGGTAGCCGAAGCCGCCATTCATTGGGTAAACCTACAGGACAAAATCGAACTTGTGAGCACGCTGATAGTGTGGTGGGAGTCCCCTGAAATGTCCTGATTTTTCACAATATGAGTACATTAGGCAGACCTCAATACCATTTAGCGTGTTGTCTCAGGGGGAATGCTTAAAGAGGAACTCCAGGCAATTAAAAGTGAAACCCTTGCAGTGCGGCTTTAAAATAAAAAAAAGGTATACTGATCCCAACCTTGGTCCTGCGGCAGTGACTGCTCATCTCTCTCCCTTTCTGCTACGGCTGTGGCTTGTCCCTCGGCGTCCTCACCGAGTACTTGTACTACACGTGATAACGCCAGCGGGGCTTAGACCGCCAGAGCCCAGGGAGAAGAGGCTGCTGGGACCAGTCTTATCAGCCAGGTGGGACCGAGGTTCGGGTAAGTATATCTTTTTTTTTTAATATACATTATACCCTAGACCAAAACAAGCACTTAAGCTAAAAACTTAAGTTTTTAACTGTCCGGAGTTCTTCTTTTAAAGCTGAACTTTGGCCAGATAGAAAGACGCAAACAATGCAGCATTGTAATCATTAATACTTCATCAATAAATATGTGATGTTCACCGGTCTACTTCCCCACTTCCTGCTAACATGCATGATGTCGGACCTGGGCCCACAGGAGGGACGCTGCGCACTATACTGGCCCCTGGAAGCGATCTGGTAGCAGCGTATGTGTTTAGCTCATTGTCTGGAGTTGTGCTTTAAATGCACCAAAAAGAGTTTGCCAGAAACTCTTGCTTCCTTTTTTGGAAAGTAATCTATCCCTCAAAGTGCCTGCCGGCTCCTAGATTGGTGGACTGGCTGCTAACATCTGTAGTACATTTCTCCTATATTTCTTCTGTGTCAGAAAGGTTGTCGGAGGTTTGCACAATGATGAGTTATGTATTTCCATGGGTTGGGTAATTGTGTAACCCCGTATGAGTCGGCTATGTCCCATGACCTAGTTGTACAGCTGACACTGTGACTATCGTACATATTGCAGCCTCATGATCACATAATTCAATTTTGATTAG